GTATTCCAGGCGGGGGTGAAGAGTCTAGGGGGGGTCCAAATTTCAAGGATTTTGCTCTACGACCCATAGGAGCCGAGATATTTGCATTTTTCTGTCTGCACAAGGTCATCTGGAACTGCATATTTTGGACTCCAATATTGCTCAAAATTGTAGAGAAGGTATAAATAAATGTTATTGAACAAGATATTTTGATTTTGTATTCATTTTTATTGACCCAATTTTACAATAATTTTACAATAATCAGCGCAAATTTAATAATTTTGCTACTTTGCGGCTCATGTAGTACGGTTTTTCGGCGGATCCGTCGTGTCTCTCGGAGTCCTCCAAGCAGCAGAGAAAAATTGTGTCGACGGCGATGGCGTGAACGCTGAAGAATACAGACGCGACGAGATAAGACCCGAGGCCGACGAGAAGTGTTGGTACCCAGAAGAACTCGTCGTCTCCTTCTTTCTCCTTATAGTACCACCAGGAGATGGCCATCATCGTGCAGGTGACGAGGATCTTCCCCGCGAAGAGCAGCCAGTCGACGATTTTATTAAGAACCACAACTCTCAATATATTTCTCATCAGGAGACTGAGGGCATCTCCAGCGGAGGCGCACAATCCCTTTCCATAGATCGCGCAGACGATGTACGCGTTTCCATTCATGAACTTCAGGAATCTCTCCAGCAGGGCCAGGAAGCACTGGAGAAATCGGTAAATGAACTTCGCACAGCCCCCCAGGAGATCGCCACCCTGTGCCGAGGCCTGGCGGTGAATGTACTCCAGCAGGAGTCGCAGAAAACGACAGATTGTTATCAGGAATGAACCGAATGCAACTGTCCCCAAATGATACCTGCAATCAAAATTTCCAAGCAATTAAAAGAAGATAATTATTGTCAGACTATAATACTAATTAATATAATATGTAAAATCAAATTGTCTCGTTCTTTAAATGCAATTTGCTAAATAAAAATGCATCAAACATCATTATTGGTATTATTATTATCAACCTCACCCCGGGGTTTTCTTTAATTATTTCCTCACCTAATCGTTCTCCAGAGGCTGACAGTGACTGTGAAGAATGGAACATCATTTTTGTTCATTGTCCAGTACCAAGTGGCAAAGGTTGCAGCGAGTGCCATCTCTCCGAGGGCGGAAATGAAGAAATACATCCAGAGACCTCCAATTATGTGGACGAAGTACATCCAGATTATGTGAGGGGGACTCTCCACTGTCTGGAGATGACACACTCTTGATACGCACATTTCTCCGTTCTCTCTGCATCGGGAGTTGAATATTTCCGGATCGCAGGGGCTGCCGATGTTGTAATTGAGATATGATGGGCAAATGCAGTTGTCGGTTGTAACGTTCGATGGTTTCTCGATGGCGAACTTTTGGTTGCCGATCGATATCAGGAGAAAACCGATGTAGAAGAAGTATACGAGGACCAGAACGTGGGTGATCCACGGAAGAATCGGGAAGAAGAGACTGCAGAGGGTAGACATCACCGCCCTGATTAAAAAAAATAAAAATCGGTAAGATTTTCTTGGCTGTTAATCGCTCGAACGAATGCAACTTACTTGCTCGCCTCCTTGATGAGCTGACACGCGAGATAAATCCTCTGCCACAGGCACAATGTCAGCAATGCTATAATTCCAGCGACGGATCCCAGGATAATCGTTATTGTCAGCCAAACCGATGAATCCGTCTCCGAGTACGATTGATAACTCAGGTATCCTAGGTATCCGAATAATCCGCAAACTCCGACAATCGCGACGAGGATGCAGGGCATCGCCAGCCATTTCAGCAAGAATATGTAGATTATACAGATGAGAGCTCCACCGCAAACTATTCCAAGTACTGATCCACTGAAAAAAAAAATGTCCACAATTTTTCAAGTCGCTTATACTTATCCCTTAAATCAATGAATTACTGTAAATAAATGTACGAAAATATTTTCTCTGAAATAAAGAAGTTTTTCGAAATATTGAGAAATTATTCGCGCACCCGTTTCCTTGAGAGTTAAAAATACAAAATGTTAAGATCGGTTGAGATCAGGTTTGAAAATTGAGAAGAAATTGTAAAAACTCACTAGGATGACAGGAATTTATCGAAGATCCCTTGGGCGAAGGCCATGTACCCGATGATCTCCTCGGCTTCTTTCAATTTTCCTTTAATCAATTCCCCGATTTTGTCGTTTGTCAAAAAGTTCACAGGAACGCACCTATGGACGATGGCTTTGCTCTGGAATTCCATCGCAGCGCATGCCTCGACGCGAATGAGTGCGACGATGTCTTTGTAATCTTTATTCGCCAGATTTACCCCCGGCTTGCAGATGATTTTCCGACGGACGTTCTCTATCGAATCTGTTGCACTGGCAATCCAGAATTCGCTCGGGCATTTTTCCACGCAGACTTGAGGCGTGAAACATTTTTTCTTCGTAATGTCGCACTTGGTCAGGTCGAAGAAGAAGAGGTACGATTTGTTTGAGACATCCGAATCCACTCCGCACTTCCTGCCTTCACTATCCGTCGGTGCCAAGAGTGTCTCGATATCCCCCGATGATACAGCTTGAGGGATTGATTACGAAAAACAATTAATATCGTTGCAATTAAGTAATATCAAAAAAATCGCTCAATATTTGCGATTATCTCCGAAATTAACCATCTGAGGAAAAAACGTGATAAGATCATTTTTGCAGCCGAGAAAATTCTCCACGAAAAATGGTTTATGACGTTTTTTCCGAAAATCACTCGGTGTCGAATTATTGAGCGTCGAAATTTTGGAATTTTTTTTTACTTACCAAAGATTCCTACGGCGATCCAACAGGTGATAAATGCAACGAAAATCAAAAGACAGGGAATATCTGTGCACGAGCGGTTCTTCAGGGGGCCCTTAAACTCCGGATCATGCTGCAGAGGTTTATCTGTAATTTAATCACTAGATAAATATCACAGTCTCGACTAATTCGTCGGGATCGAGAAAATACTCACCGTCATACACCACCATTTTTCAATTTAATCAGCACACAAAACTAATAACTGGTCCACCAAAATTACCGATCAATTCCACGAGTTTCACGCCCGGCCCTCATCGTAAAAATGACAACAGACTCTTTTTTGTTATCTGTCGTCGTAAACCAATGCCAGATCGATGACTTTATCTTATCATTAAAGCGAAATGATTAAGTTTATCTATTTCTATAATCTACACACAACTTAGTCATTCTTCCCGACAATTCTCCTCGTGCTCAAGGGGAAGATTAATTAAAAGTAAAAGGAAGACAGTTTTTTCTTCTTTATCTCGGAAGTAGAAACACTTTGACAGTAATCAATTACATATTTATAACTGACAGATTTTTTTCATTATTCTAACCTGCATGACAAGAAAAAGTCTTTGGTTGTAAGACCGTGTTATTATCAACTACAAATGAATTCTATGGGCAATACAAAACAGACAATTGAGCGTAAAATCGATGAGATTATTTACATTGAAATAAATCCTCAACGAAAAATTCACGTCAATCTCGTAAAAATCGATTATACGAATTATGAGAAAATTACGGTTTGGTGTAATTAAAGGGTTTACGTTTTAGTCAATAATTTAGCGATGCCCCTCGACATGTAGTACGGCCGCTCCTCGGTGCCGTCGTTTCTCTCCGAGTCCTCGAGGAAGCACAGGAAAATTGTGTCGACAGCCATGGAATGAACGCTGAAGAATACAGAGGCGACGATAAATGTCCCGACGCCGACGAGAACAGTTGGTGCCCACCAGAATTGATCGTCTTGACTTTTGTAATGAGCCCAGGCTATCGCAACCATTGCACAAGTCACCAGGACCTTTCCTCCGAGGAGTACCCAGCCGACGACTTTATTCAAAATCGTCGTCCGGGCGAGATTTCTCATGATGAGACTTAGGGCCTCACCAGCTGAATCGCAGAGGCCCTTTCCATAGATCGCACAGATGATGTAAGCGTTTCCAGTCATGAATTTGACGAATCTTTCGAGGAGTGCTAGGAGGCAGGGGACGATACAGCGGACGAAGCCGGTGCAGCAGTCTCCAGAATTATCCTCAGACAGGCCCTCCAGGATGTCTATTAACAGTCGGAAGAGTCGGCAGATCGTTAACAAGAAAGAGCCGAAGGCAACGGTTCCTGGGTGGTACCTAAATATCGAAACGAAAAATAAAAGAACCTTAAGAATTTTTGTGAGAGTTAATGATGAGAGAAAATAAGAATGAAAAGAATAAATTTTGCATTCTTACCTCACCGTTCTCCAAAGACTTTCCGAGACCGTGAAAAATGATACATCATGCTTATTAATTGTCCAGTACCACGAGGCGAATGTTCCAGCGAGAGTCATGTCGCCGATAGCTGAGAGGAAGATGCAAATCCAGATGCCACCGACGATGTGAATAAAATAAGCCAAGCCGATGGCAGATGGGCTATTCTCCTTCTGAAGTCGGCAAACAGTCGACACGCAGATGCCGCCATTTTCCTCGCATTTGGAGTTGAATATCTCGGGGTCACAGGAACTTTTCACTGTGTAATTGAAGTTTTGGCATTTGCAGTCGTCAGGGAAGCCATTTGGCGAGTGCTCAATGGCGAACGTCTGTCGTTTGATGGACATGAAGAGGAAGACGATGTAGAAGAAGTAGAAGAGAAGAGCGATCTGGAACAGCCACGGGATGATCGGAAAGAAAATACTGCTGAGGACTGACATGATGGCCCTGAAAACAATGAAATTAGGATACGAATTCCAAATGTGAACTCAATAGTAATCGATAATAATTACTTGCTGGCCTCTTTGATGAGCTGACAGGCGAGGTAAACCTTGCTCCACATGCAGACAGTAACTATTATTATCACCAGAACAGTACAAATGAGGATGATCATGGTTATCAACCAAAGTGCAGAGGATGTCTTGGCGTATGACTGATAGCTCAGGCAGGCCAGACAAATCAGCAGTCCGCAGACTGCTATAATTGTCACACAGACCACAGGAACTGCTAACCATCTCAGGATTAACATGTAGATTATGCACATCACTGCACCACCGACAATTATCCCCATGACCGATCCACTGGGGACATAAAATCACTAAGTCATCACAAGTCCAAATGTTTAAATAAAATAATTATGGGGGAATAAATAGAAAAAGTTGTACCAAAAGAAAGAATTGGGTCGAATTCTCTATTTCGTAAATCGGGGAATCCTCGATGTTGAAAATTATTTTTGGAAAGAATTGAAAATTTGAGTTAATGTAAAAAGGAAAGAGGAAAATTGAAAAAACTTACGAAGAAGATTTGACTTTATCGAAGACTCCCTGGGCGTAGGCCAGTGTCTTGATGATGGTCTCGGACTTCTTGATCTTCTCGATGATGACGTCGTCGATGAAACCGGTGCCCAAGTCCAGGGGAAAGCACCTGTGGACGATGGACTTTCCCTTGAAGTACATGGGAGCGCAGGCTGTGACGTTTATGAGTGCCTCGATTTCCAGAACACTTTTGTGGGTGACGTTCACCCCAGGTCGGCATATGATCTTCTTCCTGATCTCCTCCAGGGGTTGGTCGGTGTCGAACCGCCAGTTGGTGTCCGGGCATTTTTCCAGACAAACTTGAGGCGTGTCACAACGGTTTTCATCGAGATCGCAGGTCGTCAGGTCGAAGAAAAAGAGGAAGGGCTTGTCGGCGACATCCGCGTCCAGTCCGCATTTCCGGCCTGAACTATCCGTCGGAGCTAGGAGGCGTTTAACATTCCCGGAGGATAACGCTGAAATAATTAATAAATGATTTTTTTATTTAATGAATAAATTTTGTTAATGTAAAATGACGATTGGAAATTCAGAGACAATTCACTTGTGAATTTAGAAAATCAATAAAATAATTGAATTGAGTAAATGAAATAAATGATAAATAAAATATTGTTGCATACCATAAATTCCGAGGCTGAACCAGACGACAATAAACAATAAAAATATGACGAGACAGGTAAGATCCGTGCAGGAGCGCCTCTTCATCGGCCCCTCGAACGCCGGGTCATGCTCGAGTGGTTTATCTGCAATTAAAGTCTCGATAAAACTCTGAAATTACCCCCGAGAGACCCAAAAATACTCACGCTCAAAATCCACCATTTAAAAAAAAATATATTTCTTGCAAATGAACTCGACACTTAACTCTCGAAAAAACTTCTGAACCACTTACTTCCTCTCTCGATCCCGTAGAAATGACGACAGCCTCCGCGTTATCATCAACTTCCCGCAGGCAAAACCCTCACTTTTTCCACAATTCACTATTTTCCTCAAAGAATTACTCACGTTTTCCGGCCAACAATCACCCGCAATTAAAAAATGCCAATCAAAATCATGAACGTAAGGATTTTAATGCACATCTCGTGAAAGAAGATAAATAAATAATAATATATCAATAACATTAAAAACCCAAGAAGTTCATGGATTTAATTTTGGATTTCCACTTGATTGTTAATTTTTTATTCGCTCGTCTGTTCAGGATTATTGTACATGAAAAATTATAGTTTTAGCTCGATTTCGGGAGAAATCGATTCAGTGCACCAAAATCTTTATTATTCACTGGTTTTTTCTTCTTCGCCTTTTCCTCGGATACTTGTCGTATCGTCTCAGCAGCTTCCTGCAATTTTTTAAATCCAAAAGTAAATCCCCAAAACCCTCAACTAATAATTTACTAATTAATAATAAAAATAATAGTTCCACTTACTTTTCGTTTCAATTCCTTCAATATTTTCTTGGTTTTTACGATTTTCGCGGTGCCACCTTTGCCCTTGGCTTTAGTTCTCCTGGGCTTGAAGTCTATCGCCTGAGGTTTGATGAACTGATCACAAAAAAAAAGAAGAATTATTCAAAATTTGTTCTCCAAAAAAATGTTGCAATAGAAAACAATTGAGGGATTGTATAAACTTACCAAAAGCTTCTTCTTGGCCTCGACTTTGTCCTTGAGAGTTGGTACATCGACTTCGGCCACAGCTCCAGGATCCAGGGTAATTAATTCAGGCTGAATTTTATCGAGAAGGGCCTTGACCTCGGCCTCTCGCCTCTGGCTCTTCGTCTGGAAGGGATTGAGCTCGAGGGCATCGAAATTCGGTTCACCACTTCCGGGGACTAGAACCGAGATGAATCCCTTGGCTGTGCTGACACCCAAGACGTCCTCGAATGGGCAGAATTGAAGGGACGAAATGCCCCAGGTCTCTTTGTGACGAAGGTAAGGCTTCATGGTGTCTCCGGAATCCCTGTGAATCCAACAAGATCATAATTTTATGAATCAATGAATTAATTAATTAGATTGGAGAGAAGGGAGTACTAAATTGATAAACAAACCTGAAAATCTCGACACAATTCCCTGAAGATGCAGCGAGAAGGCCCTTCTGACTGTAAACTAAATTATTAACAGGTGATCTCAGAACGAGATTGTGGACAGGACCAGAGAGTTGCCTGACGTCCCAGGTCTTGACGGTTCTGTCAGGGCAGCTAGTGGCCATGTACGTTCCATGCGGATGAACAGCGACGGAACTGATCCCCTGACGATGACACAACATCTTAGCCAGAGGATCCTTGGACCTGGGGGCCCACATGGAGACAACACCCTTCGAATTCCCAATACAGAGGACTGCATTACCCGGATTCTGTGTCATAACAGCTATTCTCCCCAATTTGGAATCAAATCTGGAGATTATCTGTCCAATGGAGACGTCTAACCAGGTGAGGCATCCCTCGTAGCTCCCAGATGCCAGAAGAAAGTGATAAGGAAGAAATTCCAGTCTCGTAACTCCATTCATTCTCTTCAAACAGTGAATTTCAATTCCCTGATTGTCGTAGATGTGCACCCAGTTCTTCTGGGCAACGGCGAACATCGTCTCCAGGTGTAGCCACGATACGGCGTGAACTGACTCCATGACGTTCATCTCGCAGGAGAGTTTCTTCGTCACCCAGTCGAACGCTGCGACGTGTCCCATTCTACCTCCGAGCAACAGGTGTCTTCCATTTCTCGTGTAGTTGTGGGTATAAGCACCAAAATCCAGGTTCAACCTGAAGTGCTTGGAGGCACTGGTGATATCGACGTTCTCAGCGATTTCCCTTTGATTGTACTGAGTCGTGTGCTCGCCGATGTCAGCCTCTAGGTGGCCTGACTCTTCTGTCAGCAGTAGTTCAGCTCTTGCTGCCTGTTCAGCTGCTCTTTCTATCGCTTTCTCTCGCTGTCGCAGCTTTTTTAAAAGAGTTTTGTTTTTTATTGAGGTCGCCCCTCGTCGCAACTGGAGTCCATCTCCTCGACGGTGACGTGCTAGTTTCTGTTTATTCACGGGATTCTTCGGGGGACGTCTTGATGGTTTCGGATTCTCGTCTGGAATTTATGGAATCCGAGACGAGGAATTCAGGAGTCAAATCACTTATGACTCTTATTTTTTATTCAATTCATTACTTCATTACTAGATTATAATATTCAGTCCCAGAAACTATTCTCGTATTTTTTTTATTATTGCAGTTATACGAAAAATTATAACATTAATAGTGATAACATTATTTATTATTACGAGATAATTAATTTTTTTCGGATTATTCAATAATTATTTCATCAACTTAAATACCGATTGGATATTTAACCTCTAATTTGGTGAAGCGTCCTCAATAAAAATATTTTTTACACAAGAATAATTTTTTGTAATTGTTATTTAGTGATAAAATTAATAATCTAATAGAAATCATGTGTTATGCAGTCGAAATAATTTTTATTCCATCTTCTAACCTCGAATTGTCAACGACTTATTAATCCCGCGTGTAATTGAGTAAAAATAAAATTGAAAATACCTTCATTCATCTTGAACACGTGCCCCAGGAGTTTGTTTAACAAATGCGTGGATTAATTCTCGTAAAAGCACTCACAAATCACTCACAAATCACTCACAAATCACTCGGCAATCACTCCACGTGCAGTTGCGATCACTTCACTGGCAAAATAATAACGTACACCGAAGAGGATTGACTAAAATAGAGGCGCAATTCTGGGGGTTTGAGTGACCCCACCGGCATTGTAGTGCCTCACCCGAAGAGAGAGAGGGCGTCAATTTAGTAACGCAGAAAATACCACTTCACTCGTCGTCGACTGGTCCCTCTGACAGCCGAACTGCTACTGCGGCAGTTACCGAGTCCGCCGACCGGGCAGACACCCCAACATTGCATGTGGCGCCCTCTCGTCTTTAGGTGAGGTACTACGATGTCGGTGGGGTCACTCAAATTCCCAGAATTGAGCCTCTACTTTACTCCATACTCTCTGGTGTATAGAAAATTCCTAGTAGTTCTATCTGTCGTCTCGAATTAAAACTGAAGTCTCCGGCATGAGAGGAATCTCTCTTATCCCTCTCCTTGAAAACCTAAAAATAAAATCCAGACTTAATTAATAAATACCAAGACACCAGCTAACAATTATAAATAAACCATTAAAATCTAGATTATGAAACTGCTCACGAATTGTCATTGGGGATTTCGAAATATGAAAAATGAATTTCAATTTTTATTTTCAAATGTCTAAAATGTATTTAAAGGATTGGTTATGGGAATAATTGGAAATGGGGGGGTTATTTGTTAATGGAGAAGGACAATTATTTATGAGGGATTTTTTAGATATTTTTTGGGATGTATGAGTTTTACCTGAAGTCAGCTGTGAGCCGCACCCGACCGCTCAGCAATCGATACCTGAAGATCGATTCTGAGTAGTTCATGCTGTCAGATGGATAATGGCAGCGACAGTGATTGAAACTATGTCGCAGACCAATGGATTTCAGCTCAAAAAAAGAGAGGAGGTCGACAATAAAGACAATCTGTGGTACGTTTCACTGAAGAGTTCTAAATAAATTATGTATAACTCGAATATTTTAAGCCGCCTCTTACCCCGATGTGAATAATTCGTCGCTTCTTAATTCCCTTTTTTCGCATGCGTCTGCATGACTGCATGAGGTGATGATTGTTTTTATCATTTTTGTTAATGAAAATTATTGGATTTATTGCAGGTCCTCGATTTTGGCTGAAGTGCAGAACAGTGGCAGCAACAAATTACCGTCAAACAAAAATGTTCTAGTTCTGGGTAATTACAGTTAGAGTGTGGGAGGTGATTGTTGAGTGTTGTGGGAATGTGCATTGAATTTTTATGAGGGGAGATGTGTCATCGGATTTCTTCCGGACGATTTCGGTGGAATATGAATGTTTTACCTGTGACTCGAGTCTGACGGGTGGGGATTCGGCGGGATTCTCGCGAAATGACTGAGACGATTTTTAAGGGCTTGAGTTGATTATCTAGAGGCTTTAACTACAATTGAAATGAATTTTGAATGAATTAAATTGGATCGTTTGTCCAGGAGATATTCGCGCGATCAATTTTGTGCGATCGATATTTTTATTCTTAATTCCGATTTTTATTTTTTTTTTGCGTTCATAATTCTGAGCGAAATCTATACGAATTTCCATCGACTTTTCCACACACAAGTGTCTGTAGCTCTAGCTAATATAAAACATTTTTCTTTTTCTGTGAATTTACCTAGTACTGTGACAAAACTTCTGCAGCGGTTCGAGAGTTGGCAAAAGTTCAAGTTTTGAATTGTTAAAATGAATGGCTAAAAATTCTTATGAAGTTTGTCCAGAGCTCTTGAAGTTCCTGGAGTCGAATGAAGTTTCTCCAGTTAATTACAATTAGTTCCACCGGTGAACATGAATCTAGTTACAAAAATTAGAACTTCGGAAATTACCGTATTCAAATGTCACAATTTCATTCCCTTACCTTTCTTTCTTCGTTTTGTCGGTCGTGGGATCTAAATTTGTGTTTATATATTGCAGGAGATAACGAAAGTGGTAAAACAACACTTATTGCGAAACTCCAGGGAGTCGAGGATCCCAAGAAGGGATCGGGATTAGAGTTTGCTTATATTGACGTTCGCGATGACTACAGAGATGGTAAACACAAACAAACATTTTTTCTCCCTCTATTTCCCGAATTAGCTCGAGAAATACCCACTTTAGAGTAAAATTCGATAAGAAATTTTTCGTAGAGAATTTAATTCCCTGAAAAATTCTCTCATAACATTTTTTTCATACAACCCAATGGTATCGAGATGGATCTAGATTTAATAAACTACTCCAATAAAACAAAAGAAATTCCAATTCTATGAATTCCGTCCATATCTCCATAACATTGGAATCGACGGACAAATGGTAGAGGAATTTTTTAAAGAGAATTAAATTCCACACAAAAAATCTCTACGAAATTTTCTCGTCATCCCTTTGGTTACTGAGATTACCTCAATTCCAGATCAAACAAGATTATCAGTGTGGGTGTTGGATGGTGATCCTGGTCACGCGAATCTTTTGCGATTCGCACTGAGCCCCGAGCGTTTTCCCCACACCCTGGTAATGCTTGTAGCAGCGATGACGACGCCCTGGGCCCTCCTGGACCAGTTGCAGTCGTGGGCAGCCCTCCTGGGGGATCACATCGACAGACTCCCCCTGGACAACGACACGAGGCAAAAGTGTCGACAGGGATTGGTTAAAAAATGGCAGGACTACATGGAGCCTGGGGACGAGCTTGACCCAGGAAGTCCCCTCCGGCGTACAAGTCGCAATCTCGACGATGACAGTGACAATCTACCTCTCCCAGAGGGTGTTCTCACCACTAATCTGGGACTGGACGTTGTCGTTGTCATCACCAAAACTGATTACATGTCCACTCTCGAGAAAGAGCATGATTACAAGGACGAGCATTTTGATTTTATGCAGCAGTGGATCAGGCGATTCTGCCTGCAGTATGGAGCAGGATTGTTTTACACCTCCGCCAAGGAGGACAAGAACTGTGATTTGCTGTATAAGTACCTTACTCATAGGATTTACTCTTTACCATTTAGAACACCTGCTCTTGTCGTCGAGAAAGACGCTGTACTTATGTGAGTTTGAGATTTACACTTCGATGTCACATTTTCCGGGGATAACTCGGAATCTAACCGAGATATTCACATTTTTCTCGGGAACTTTTTTGTAGAGCGGTTATCGATCTAGGAAAAAAGTTCCTCGGAAAAATTTCGATATCTCCGATGGATTCGGAGATATTCTAATTGGAGTGATTTCTTTTTTTTTTTTCATGCAGACCTGCTGGTTGGGATAATATGAAGAAGATTGGAATCCTCCATGAGAATCTCCAATCGATGAAGCCAGATGATTACTATCGGGACATCATCGCTCAACCTCCAACAAACAGAAAGGTGAAAATAAAATATAAATGAGTTGTTTTGTCAATTTTTATAGGTAACATGAGTAAATGATTTTAATGAACGAATTAATTATCAAATGAATTGGATTTTTTTTCATCGTAGTAATTTGATTAATTGATTTCATGATTGATAATTCATTTGGTAATTAATTTGTCTGCAGTGTGTTGCGAGGGAAGTGGAGGTTCAGGCTGAGGACGAACAGGCATTCCTCGCAAAACAACAGGCAACACTCTCAGGGATGAGGGATCCAACGCGTTCCCCTACGACACGCAACCAGGCAAGCTCTGGACCAGTCATGCAGGTTGTACCCACATGGATTAAAGCATGCGTACGATGTTGCAAAAAATCAATGCCAAAAAAATGCAAACCATTATTCGTCTCCACCACTTTCAATTTTAAATTCATTCACCCATTTATCATCTGATTCGTTAGGATAATTAATTCTGTCATTAACTGCCTCATTGCATTGCCTCATTGATTATTCCAGACTCTGGGGCCGTAATTAATCAATAATTCAAGAGTTGAGAAGTTGATTAACACACAGTGAAAAGTTCATTGAGACTTCTGTGTATTTTTCCGTAATCCGGGGTTTTAGGGGAAAATTGTATTAGGATTTTCTCTGGGAAATTGAATTCCCGAAGTATAATTTTTTATCACTTTTTCCTCTAAAACCACGAGTTGACGAGATATCTACACGAAAAGAGGATTTTTTTTTTGTTTATGTTTTTCAGTTGTGATTTCTTCGGGGAAATAATTATTTGTTAATTGCTTTATCAGATAATTGTTTTTTCTCAGCTCTGGGACAATGAGGCTGTCAATCTAATGGCACTCACGATGGCATTTGTGTTGGTTAATTCATGAATACAATAAAACATTGCTAGCATGTTCTAATCTAAATGTGGTATGATCTGTTAATAATTGTGATTTAACTCTCGTTACTTTCAATGTAGACGACAGTGACTTAATGATTTTTATTCAGGTGCCCTCCCCCAACAAGAAATTGGATCCTAAGGGGACTGGGGCGACACCAGCAGGCGAGGGTGTTCTAGCCAATTTCTTTAATTCACTTTTGTATAAAAAGAGTGGAGCATCTCCTGGGGGTCCTGGCACACCAGGAACACCAGGCAGTGTTGGCACAAGTCCTGTAAAAATTGGTAAATATTCAGGACAAATCTAAAAAATACAGATGATCAATCAATCAGTCAATCAATTAATTCAGGATGAATAAATACCACTTACATATTCCCCCGACTACTATTTCTACATTTTTTTTCCATCAAAAACAATATTGATGTAATTATTATTATTCATGGCTCGAATATCAAATTATTATTGTGTTCAATTGGAAATTGATTAACCGCTCTAAATTCCACCAGAATTTAATTTTCAATTAATTATTTCAGTGATCAATTTGTGGAATTAATGACTGGGAAATAAATTCCGATAATGTTCGATATTAAATTGATTTGGTTAAATAGTCAAAGGCAGAGTATTCAAATGAAACAAATCACGTTTGAGAATGAATATTAATCCATTATTATCGGCAATTAGAAATTCATTAGTCACGGAAATTTGATTTTACACGAATTATTGTGGAAAATAAAATTTTCACGTTCGATATTTAAAAGGCAACTATTTCTTAAAATTGAATTGAATGAATTTAAATATTCTCAGACGGCGGACCCGTGGATAAAGCCGCGATGAGAAATGATGCAGCTGCAGAATTGGATCGCATAACTCGGAGTAAAAAAATACCCCCACCGGACCTCAACTCATCGTCAGAGTGTTGAGAGGAGGGAAAATAAATATATCATGGAATATTCATTTGCGGCCCATCTGCATTCAGATGCCCTCGGACACCAGAAGTTAGAATGAATGCCCTAGGAGAAGGTACCGTAAAGTCACGCCTCTAAGTCTTCAATATTCCTCGAATCAACAATGCGATTTTTAAAAATCCGGTGTCACCTCGAAGAGCGATAAAAACCCTTCAAAATGACACTAGACATTTCAATTTTCACTCGGCCAATCCCGAGTTATTGAAGATTGAACAAAAATTTTTACAATTTTTTTCCCTTATTTTCTAAAAAAGTGATATCCAGAGGATTTGACAGCTGACAATTACTATCAACAATGCCACAATATGTAGTACTTAGAGATCTTTCCACTTGCATAATTTATTGATTTGCCAGTTAACATCTTATTAATTAATTATTTTAATAAACAGAGTTCATATTTGTGTTCATTTAAATCAATCGCAACGGTCAAATCCTCGAATATCCCCACTTTCATCCTCAATTAATCAATTTAATTGATTAATCACTTAGTTTAAGTCATCTTAATACTCGAAAATAGCTCAACAAACTTGTAAATTTGATGTAACGAGAGAAAAAAAACAGTGAAAAAGGAATGAAACGTGCAATAGCAGAAGCATTTCGTATTCTTCTTATAATTCCTCTAACTAATGAGATGGGCCGCAGAGAGTTCATTAATTGAATCATTAATAAATCGAATGAATGAATAAAAATTAACAACACGCCACAGCTAAAAGCCTTAATCGTTGTGTTTGAATACAAAATACATGATAAAAACATTTCAACTCGATTTTTGCACATCTATTTCCCCTCGAGTATTGGAAAAACTCAGGTGCATCAAATCAACTTGAAGCGTTTTACCTCTTCGCTCCTGAATTAATAGATTATTAAATTAATGTAGTTAAACATTTAATATAAATAATGAAAATTGAATTATGCTTACGCACATGTCTTTGCGTCGTACCAATAGTAAATTATTTAGCAATCTTATTTCAGATTATTTGGAATACTTTTGTTTTTCTCATTATCTTCACTGTCGGTCTAATCTAGAATTACACGAAAGTTTATTGGGAGTGTGTGAGAAGTTTTATACGAGATGTGAACAATTACATGAGTTTAAAAGGAATTAAATAGCTTTAGAAATCTGCTTTATAGTGTGGAGAAGGTAAGCTGAGAGATAATCGGATGTATTTTTCTTTTATATAAAATTATTCATCGATTTGTCATTCAGTTCGATTGTCTGCATGTATTAATGAAAAATAAGTCGAACTCATGATCAAATAAATAATTTTTCATACAACATTTGAGTAATGTTGTTTTATTGAGTCTTAATTAGTTGGAATATTATGCTGATTACGCGGCTAATTATTAATCTAGATTGCAATATTTTTCTATTTTTCGGGTATGTAAAGTCTACTTAGATACCTTGTAATCCGCAGTTTCATAACAGCTGTATAAATCATCTGCAATGCACGGTATATATTTATCAATCGCGATTAATACTGCTGGAATGCAGGTATAATTAATAAAGTAACAAATTAAAAAAAAAAAAAAACAATGATGGAAGAGATTTTTTGGAGTCAGACGTCGCCAACTCTTGATTAACTTTAATCGAGGAAGATTTAATTTTGGGGAGTATTTTTTTTTTTGGAAAATAATTGTTTTGAAAATTTGGAAAAATCAACAGTTATCAGGATCTAATTTGATCGGTGATTAACTCTAGGGTAATTAAACTGTGCGTAACGACTCGATGAGTCGCGTAACTGTTACGTTTACAGTCTTTTTTTTGGGATTTAATATAGGAGAATTCGTTTGTCGACTGCTTTGCGGCATATGGGGCACTCGGACATGCGATCACCGCACATTTGGCAGGTGCCATGGCCACATAAGAAGATCATGTTCTTCAGGCGGTCCAGACATACTGGACACATTGTCTGGAAATTGACGAAATTTTTTTCTTATTTGTAGCTCTTTTACGACTAGAAATAAATATTTTCTATCTATTCGTTCATATCTTTCCTTTAAATCCCCTACCTCGATTCAAGCCTAGATTTTAACCCACAATTTTTGACCCACACCTTTAACCCACACCTTTAACCCACACCTTTAACCCACACCTTTAACCCACAATTGACCTATAACTTATATTCTCTCTAATCTATATTTACTCGCGCCTTTACCCCCCGCTTAATTCTCAACTCAGATTCTAGTTTTCCTTTTAAACCTGAATTTTGACCCATCCCCCCTAATTTACCTGTTCTTTTATATCTTGCAGCTGCTGTTGCAATTTTTGAATATCACTGTGCGAAGTATCTCTACTCCCATTATTCATTAATACAGCCTCACCACCACTATTATTCAGTGGTGCTACATCCTCCTCAACATCAGCTTTAACTTCCGAAATAGTGCCTGCAATCCAGAAACGATAAATTATTCACGCACCCTCTCACGCTGAATAACTTAAATTTTCCTAGTGGTGTGTGGGGGGGTTAAATTTTTGAATAAACCAAAATCCACATGCTAGGATTAGGGGTTGGGAATTACGCATTAATACCTGAGGCATTTTGCCCCTTAATGTAAGTAACATCACCTCCTCCACCGCAACAGACGGACAGTGGTACCATGTGCTGTATCTGTACACGACACTGTACACACTTCTTCATCAATGTTGCGCAACTCTCGCAGGCACACATATGACCACATGGACGGAATAGAACTCCAGCTTTACGGTCGGAACACACCACGCACTCCTCGATCTGTCAATCAAAATAATTTATGGATTGTCATTTAGATCCGCGTTATTATGCGTGCGAATTGGACTAATTTGAGCATTTCGAATTTTCCGAAATTTCCGGAAATTCTGGAGAGGATTAAATTTTGATTTAACAAATCATTGGGATTATAATGTACACGTGAATTTTGACCAGTAAATTATGTATGACTAAATGTATCGGTATTAATTCAGGTGAAGGCTTGCCCCAAAGGGATTGAATGGGTGAAATTGTAATCTAGTAATCTGAAGATTGCAAATTCAAATCCTGGCTTCTGCACTTTTTGTTTGAGTCATGAATGATGAGGCTTTGGGCAGGATTTTTACAATAATTACAAAAAAAAAATCACTACCTTAATTCTGGAGGCGACATTTTCTCTGCAAATGAGGCACTTCTTGACTCTCGGTGCACAGGCATTGCAGCACGATACGTGTCCACACGGACTGAATAACATATCTCTTTTTCCATCGGAGCAGACGAGACACTCGTCAATAGCTGCCGACGGTGTAGCTGGCTCGATATCGTGGGACTCTTTATTCTTGTGGCAATTGGTCAACGTTTTGCAGAGATTGGGATCTGGACACAGATCGAGGGGTGTCTGTCCCTTCTTGTTCTTAAGCTCTAAGTCAGCACCGTGAGCTGCCAAGAAACATGCAATAAATGAACTGCTTTTCTTATCCTGACCCTGAGCACCGAGACCCATTAACAGTCGTCCCACGTCTTGTACGTCCTGCAACTGTCTCAGCTGCGACAGTGTATGATGACGCAGCGCCTCGTGTAACGGGGTGTCACCGTCCTTATCAGCGACATTAACGTTTGCACCCTCACGTACCAGTAACTGGTGATTAATAAAGTTTAGGTTTTAATTAAAAATTGAATTCAGCGTCGATGTGGCTAGTAGCCAAGTTTTTCAGGCGTATCTCGGAATCTATGAGAGATAGTGTCATTCTTGTGAAGACCTTTTTTGTTGAGCTACTTCCGTTTTGCAGGAAAACTCTTAAGGAAAATTTTGATATCCCTATTAGTTCCTGAGATATTCGCAAAAAACCCAATTAGTCGATTTCGCACTCTTAAACTCTTGACTACTGCAATTCCTGAGGAATAGCACGGAATCTAAGAGAGATACCGATACTATTGAGGAGACCTTTTTGGTAGATCTATTTTCACTCTACAAAATAGATTCTCAGAAAAAATTTTGTATCTCTGTTAGATTTCGAGATATTGTTCCAAAACGAGACTTGGAAAAAATCTGTAATTGAAACTCAATTTTTTCCTCACCGCGGTAACGACTTAGTTTTTTTTTAAAGAGATAAGAATACTTTAGGTTGATGGAAAAGTGAATTATTCCTCTATTTCCACAACTGCAAATGTTTTGAGAAGGAAAAATGATGGAAATTGCGTTATGAGATGGGAAATATAAAAATTCACTCACTCGAACAATCTGTGTGTGCTGACGTTCAACAGCAAGATGAAGTGCAGTCTGCAAATTGACATTCTGGAGATCCAGGTCGGCTTTGCCAACTCTCGCCAGTAACTCGGCAACTTCAACGTGATTGTTGAGAGCGGCTAGATGAAGAGCCGTGTAACCATCGTCCTTCTTCTCGTCTACGATCCAGGGACGTGGAAGTTTGGTGAGTAAAATTCTCATTGCACTGGAACAATCAGAAGGTGGAGCATTGGATTAATTAAATTCCAGTTGATCAATTTCTGGGGTTCCGGAGTGATGCGGATTGATTTTTTTTCATTCCGCTACTCTCGCGGACTTTCGCGGTGCAACTCTTGCCATTTATCGCATAAATGTCAATGACTCTAAGAAATTCCCGAATCTAATTAACTATCATGATTTATTAATTATACCAATGATATTCATTTTATTCAAAGAGTTTTTGCAGAGTGTGAATGAAAATTAAATTAGATTAAGTGAAACTTTTTACGGGAAGTGGTGGATAATATTCTAGGAATGTAGGAGAATTAATTAAGGATTGACAGCTGAGAATGAGTGAGGACGATGCACTTGGCAAAGTCGGAAATATGTAAAACGTCTATTTTCTTCTGGGAAGTAAAAATAAACGAGCTGCAGGGGGTGAGGGGATGAAGGGGTGTTCGAGGGTAAGGGAAACCGCCTGGAGCGTGGTTTGAAGGGACATAACATGTGCCACAGTAACGTGTCAACATGTGCAATGGCTGGGACAACTCCGTGAACGGTTTTGAGATCGTCATAGGTCGCCGGGAGGCCTCCGACAGCTGCAGCACTCCCATTTCCTCTCTCGTTTCGTTACAGAATACCTAAGAGGAGGTCCACATCCCGTCCGTGGGGTCTGTTCCTAATGTGTTCCTGGGCTTGGTCGACACTCGTACGGATATTGACCGTGTCAATCCAATGTGTCGACCAGTGGCAATTGATGAAATGAAATTGACAAACTGGTAAAACATACTTCAGCCAAATACACCGTTTCTGCTCCAATTATCTCGAAGAGGGGCTCACTCACAAGAAAATGGCAAAAGACTATTTATTTAGAGAATCTCAAGGTCTCTAAGTAAGGTCTTATCACTTTTTTTCGAAAATGTCCACCTTGTCGAGAAATGGCATTTGATAACACGAAATTCGAAAATGGATGGAACAGACTTCAAGGAAATACGCTTGGGTTCCTCGTCGGAATTATTGCGACGAGGGGCCGATATACGAGAAAATGTCAAAAGATATTTTAGTTAGAAAATTTCAAGACCTCCCAATGAGGTTCTATTACTTTTTTTCAAAAATACTAGCGTTTTTCTTTTTTTCCCACATTCTTTCGTATTCGCGACTCCCTCGACGCCAATAATGCGATAGTACGGATATGGGTGAGGGGATGAGTAAAAAATTTGAGAGAAAGTTTTTACGGTATGCGAATGTACATGGGTACATGAAACCCAGGAAATTGCCGGGATTATGGGAGGACAGTTTCATTATTTCCGGGATCTATTTTTTTATTACGTGAAAATTTGAATTTTACACCTTGAGATTTTTCCTTTTGCAAATGAGTTGAACGTAAAAAAAAATTGAAGACGGGATATTTCGAGGAAGTTATTCCCAGCGAGTTATGGGGGCTCCCAGGATTATGGGAAAATAATCTTCGGGGGATGATCAAGCAAAATGGGGGTAGTGCGACTTCGTGTTCAAGTTTTTTCAGAATATATCATGATTCCAGTAAGAAGAACCCTCCTATTATTATTTATTACACCCCTATTCTTCTATTTTATTTTTAAAAATTTTTATCATTTTTTCTATGAGTCATTCTGAATTAATATCACCCGGGAAAAATCGATTCCTCCATTAATTCACCGATTTACCAAAAACATAAAGAGTTAGTCCAATATTTATATTTATATTTATATTCCATTACTTATTCATATATTAATATTTCCACGACAAATGAAAAATTAACTGACCATTTTTAATTGAAATTTAATTCAAACTCAATTAAAAATTCCAATGAATTTTTCATTCTCCAACAGTTGCAAAAAAAATTTGCATTTTCCTTTGTTATTCCATCGAGATCACTAGAGGAATGTCTTAATAGTATCTTTGGGGTATAACTCTTCAATAAACTTGGATTCTAAGGGATGATGAACGCAGTTGTTTACCCAGAACCAACACAATGTCTCCTACTCCAGAAAAATTGGGTAAGAGAGGAGATAATGCAGATGGAAAATGCGTTGAAAAAAAAAGAGAGAGAGAGGTACATGTAATACATAGACTAGTTAGTTTGCGTTGGCAACGGAAACCCAGGAAAACTTGGCTACCCTGGGCGGTGGGGTGGGCGGTGGGTGGTGGGTGGTATGGGCTGTGGGTGGGATGTCGCCTTTTGCCCCATGAATATGCAAATGCACTCGAATGTTGGCGTTATTGCATTAATAACTATAAATTGATTAAACCACCAATTATGACAGAATTCACGCCTCTGGTATCTATCGTCCAACCCATCCCTTAATTTTACCACTCTGGTGTACCAGCGGTCGTTATTACACGTCATTACGTACCGCTGATATTATTCTCCATTAAAATCTTTTCTCCAACGTCTAGTCGTTCTCCACGATGAAACAGCGGCTTCAATTCGCCATGTGGCATGGGGTACGGATGAAATAATTGGCGGTGTAACGACTACCATAAATTGAAGAATTTAATTATCTGGGGATGTGTTGCGAGCACCGGGAGTGGAAAGTATTTTATCTGATGAATTGAGAGATTCGGTGAGAGTTTACGCGATTTTTTGTTGTCCACGGCAACTCTTCGTTTTTATTTATTCCATTCGTTTTTCGAATTCTCCGCGAGAAATTATTTTCATTGAAAATATAGGGAAATACTGTTTTTATGGGAGACGCGTTTTTTGGTTTTTTTCCAATTTTTCTTTTTTGGAATTTGTGAAAAAAACAATAGCTGAGAATTTTTCATGATGAAATGAATTTAAGAATGAAAATTCTTCAACAATGCGGAAATTTTCTGGTGGAAAATTCCGGGTAAAATCCTGAAGAGCCGAGACGGATTAAATTGTCCGGGATAAGAAATGGCGGATGGATATTAATACTTTTTTTTAGGCGAGCCTTTTTTTTTGAACACCGTGACGTTGAAAAATAGCGAAACAACTGGAGGCATTGGTGCGTAACATGAAGACTATGTACAAGAGTCATGTGCGAATGGGAGTGCTGTCCTGAATATATGTCGGGAGTTTTTGGTGACTCAGTGACCATTCGTCGTCTACTCCGTTAAAAACGTCTCGTTGCTTTTAAAAGCTGTAATCCCACGTGTCCGCGGTTTTTCATTGGCGATGACGCGGGGGATGTGTGAGTAACAGCTGATCACGTAATGGCGGAAATAAAAATTTGCGAAAACGAAAAGTAAAACGAAAGGTAACGCGGAAAGTAATACGAAAAATAAATGCCGCGTAATTTCTGATATGTCACGTGAAAACAAAGATTTTCCGCGATAATTTTCCCCCGCGAAATTAAATCAATGAATTTTGTGAGACTGATAAATAACATATTACGAAATTACGCAATGGCATATCGGTGTATTTTAAACAGTACCATTTCGATGTTTTCCTCTCTAGTTTGGAAGACTGCCCATTTCCCATCTGGCCGATTGTTCCTTGTGTATCCACCAACGCGGTTTCCCATTTTCCCAGCAATATGTCTTGCTTTACCGAGGCAAATAGTAACGGTAAGAAAAAAATGTAGAAAATGAGAAAGATTGTTCGCGATTCACCAAGTTGAAATATTTTATTCAGGAGAGAATTGGATTTTTTTGGTTATTTTGATTTAACGTGGAAAATTCATAAGTTTAATGAGTGAGTAATTATTGACGCGTGAGAATCAACTTGACAGTGAGTTTGAGGTGGAATGGCTTTGGCACATGCCACAGTTATGATTCTCAATTTCGAATATATTGCGTTTGGATAAATTCATGACGAGAGCGGTCTGTGACGCAATTTCCGGTTAAACGCGCGATTTCTCACTCATCGGCACTCCCACGACCAGGAGGTATTGGTGAACATTGCGCCCCGGGGTTTATACTGTCACGAGACCGTCAATTGCCATTTTTTATTATTTCAGTGATGGAATATAGAAAAAAATTCAATCAGAATAGATCAATTTAAATTGGTGGCGTTTCTCGTGGAAATCTCGGGATTTAACGGAGGTATAAAAAATTTTATAATGACGTTTTTGTTGGAAATTTTATGAGCTACAAAAAAGTTCTTATGATATTTTTTTATATCTACCGTAGATTCCGAGATATTCAGTAAAAACTCAGGGGTGATATCGTGATGTGAAATTGTTGTGGACACTTTTCATTACGCAAGTAATTGATTCATATTTTGATATCTGTCAGAGATTGTGAATTCTTTGTGGGAGATTTTTTTTGAAGAATTTTATAAGCTACAGAAAAGGTTTTATAGATATTTTTGATATCTCGCACAGATTTTGAGATACAAAGTGAAAATTGAGGAGTGAATTGTTTGAAGAGAAAATTCGTCAACTTCGTGGTTTTTACTTCCCAGTTATCGTTCGATATAGTTGAATCTAATGGAGATAACGATTTTTTTGTAGGAACTTTATTGTAGAAAATTTTACGAGCTATAAAAAAGGTCGAATGAAACTTTCTTTATCTCGTCGGGATTTCGAAATATTCAGCAGAAATTGAGCATAAAAAAATTAAATGAATGATTTTACGACTCTTTCTTCATCGTTTTCATCGTATATCTCAAAATTTGAGATAAAAATACTTTGTACCCCTTTTAATTACCTCCCCTTTTCGGATGAAAATTAATGAATCTAAATGTTTAATGAGATTCAATTCCTATTTTTTTTAATTAACAATTTGTGGTAATTAATCAATTAGTCACAGCCATTTTTTTTTCACACTTCGCCGACCCGTGATTCCCGGAATATTAAAAAACCGAAAAACCTCCAAAAATCCGACACCACCCCCCGTCCCTGAAATTCACCCCCTACCCCAATTCGAAACAATTCACGGTACCATGGGTTTTGTGGTCAGCGTGCAATTCCCCGGAGGACGCGGCACCCTTTACCGAGGAATTGGCCCCATCCAAAACAATCAATAAACCCACCATCCACCCACCACCCCCTGTGCCACGAGAAAACTTTGGGATTATTC